CTTAAAATTATTACACAGAGTTTTTGAAAAGAACTCCTCAAGTTCCGCTAAAGCTTCACATTCAGTTTCAGTCTCCGTGAGGAGTTGTAAGGCTGTTGGAGAGCACTTGAAAGGGCACTGGGAGCAGATATTGGTTTCAATATTCATGATCGTAACATCCAATCAATTACACGCATCTTTATATTTCAATCTGCCTCCTACACTTAATACTAAGTTAGGTTAAGTCATATAATCACAAGAAGTTCGTAAGAAATATTTTTAATAAATAAATTTAGTGGCTTGCAGCCACTCAAAAAGGAAAGACGTGGTGTCTTTTATAAATTTAAGGACCGCGGTTTACTTCTACAATGTCCTCAAACTAAATCCTCTTTATGGTGCTCTTTAAAAAGGAAACTTTCTCAAATTCTACTGTGCTTTAGAGACGTGCTCAAAATCTCTATATAGCCGATCTCACGATGACCTTTTGTATATGACAGAACATAATCAGAGATTTTTAATACCATATAACTATGATGCCAACCGAAACCACTTATATACAGATAAGAAAAAGTTTCTAAATCCAGTTTAAACTGGATTATTTTTTAATTATCAACAAATATTTGGTAATAGAAAAAGGTGATAACTCGAAATCAATACCTGTCAGCAGTCAACGCAACACACCACGCTACTTACCCTAAGGGGTTCAAACAATTTACTGTAATAATTGTGGCGCCATGAAAATAATTTAGAAATATTTTATAGAAAGTATGTAGTGTTGAGTTGTGTGTGTGTGAGAGAGCGAATAAAAATGCAAGCTATAATTAACACCTCACTCTTTGCACCTTGAAGTATAAGAAAAATATTAAAGTCAAAACAAAATGCAAAAAAAAAAAACAACAACAGCGACGCGAAGACAAGAAATATTGAGCAATAAAATACAAAACATTGACGATATAATGTAAAATCAAATAATAAAAATACAAAACAAAATAGAAAGGATAGGGATAGACGGTTAAGACGACACGGAGTCATTATACAGCAGATTATTAATCAAAAATGTATCAGCAGCCATTAAGCGGGGAAAACGATTATAATTTTGAAACCTATCACAGAATTTAAAATTAATAGCACAGTTGAGGAAAAAAATTGAGACGTTGTGATTAGGATAACAAAACCTACCTTCGGTAAAAAGTTCACAATTTTCGGTCAGTTGGGCATAAACTCAATTTAAGCCGAAAAAATATGGAGCGAAGTGAAAGAAACATGTTTTCGATACACAATTAACAATCGTTCAGGAATTAATTCACCAAGAAACTAATAAAATTTACTTCTGAAACCATTATATCCATAGTTTCTCACTTAACAACGTAGGGTATAAAAAACAAAAATAAACAATATTTATAGCAAATAACAACAAAGCTATTCCTAGAAACGTGCTAGCGCAACGTCAACGATGATGACAACGGCAATCTTCTTCTTTCGCTTCTATTGACGAGCTCTTAACAAGAATACCTTAGCTAGCTGGACTTATTTGCTACTTGTCAGTTGTTGTCATTCAACCAATCCTTCTTCCCCTGAAAACCATTATTATCACCAATGGTTTGTTTTTGTTACTGCGATTGTTTCTTTTTTTGTGGTTGTTGTAAATAAACAATTTAATTTCTATTTGCTTATCTTGTTCAGTTAGAAAGAGTGTAAATAACAACAACATAAAAATAGAAGTAGTTTAAAATTGCACACATTTTATTTCAATGAAACAAAGTTAAACGTACAATGTAACAATATTGAAATAGTTTCAAAGTTGGAAATGGTATTATAATTAGAAAGGGCTTTGCAAAAATATGAAAAGTTGTATTATACTTCTTATTTTAGCGCATATACAAGTCCTGTCTCTGTTTTAAGAAAGGTAATTGTACGACATTTCCGGCTAAGATCGTCTAATGGAATTCTTAAAAAAGAAAAAGGAAAATATGGAAGGCTGAGAAAGTAGTAGAGTGGCAATAAATCAGAAATTCGTGTTTTAAACAAAGTGAGGATGGTCACTACTGTTTGTAACGGAAACATCGGAAATTTCGGCTACCTACCTACCTATTTGACTTAGGTCAGCAGTTGTGACTACTTCAGTAACAACCACTGGTTTAATATTTGACTATCAATGACCTTGAAAACCTTGTGGTGAACTGATTAGGTTAGGCGTACGTACGTTAATAACTTCTACTCGGTGTATCTAGTTAGACATATTGTGGTCTTTATCAGTCTAGCCGCTTTTTGGTCTTCATCGATGGTCTTATTCGGAATCCAGGAAGAGATGAATGGAATAAGAATGTTTCTTTTCAGATCAGAATGGAAGAATACATAGGAGCCACAAATCAGAACCACTTCTTCACTTCGCTCCTTATAAATATCACAATTCCTTATGCCCTTCACAATATTTTCTTTGCAGATCGATATCTTTTCGAACAATTACTATTAACCGTCGTTAAATTAATGCTGTTTTACAATCAAATGATTCTGGTTTTGTACTTCCCAAGATATTCTAACTCACAATTGGGCCACACATGCCCTTTACAAACGCAATCATTTTGGTTTTGAAAAACTGAATCGGGGATACTACCAAACCCTTCTGTCCTAAATTTTATTACTGTTCATATTTTCAGTCTTAAGAAGAATAAATAGTTTAGGGGGTCAATTGCGAATGGGCTTGCCATTATATTCAATCTGAACATTTCACAATATTAAAACCTTTCATATTTTAAAGAGGATGACGTTTTCTATGGGTAGCGAAGTCTTGGTTTATGGGCCAAATTAGTTTTTATCAAATCCAAGGCGGTATGGAAATATAGATTGAAAATGTTAATATCATAAAGTAAAGAATCATTTATATAATGTTAACCAACCAAAAGAGACAGTGAGAGTACTATCAACTTTTTGAAATTTAACCTTATTCTCTTCCCGCAATCCCATAAAATCTATGTTTCTGTATTCTCATCGGTGATGGAATTTAGAACGGTTGATAGGTTAGGGTTAGGTTAAAGTATGCATGGTTGTGCAAACAACCACTTAATAAGGAGACCTATTGACCCATTGTGTTCATCCTATTTTAGAGAAGAAATTGATAAGAGTTGGGCAGTGGCAGAGTAAGTGCTCCACCGTCTCAATTTCCCCCTCGTCCTGGTAAAGCCTGTAGTATTCAGTATCGTATCTCTGTTAGGTATATGGATATCAAGTAGTACGGTTGATACTTTTATTCCTAAAAAGATAAGTGCTTGTAAGGCTGAATCGGGATAGCCTCGCCTTCGTCATATGTTGTTTAAAATAAGAATAGGACAAGGGCTGTTTTGTTCCATAAGAAGTTTACCTCAGAAACTCATACAAAATTAAAGATAACTGAAGTATATTTCATTCTAAAATTGTTACAATAAAAAAACTCATATTTATGTCTTCAATTAATTTTCATTAAATCCAAAGGAACTGTTGGTTAGCCATGAAAGATATGGGTAGGTTGGTTTGAAAGGTCTTAGTCCGCCGAGCAAATTAAACACATAGTTGACAATACTCTTAACTTATAGTACTTCCTCTCAATTTCATCTGCAAAATCATGATCAGGTTTGTTGTGTTGTCGATAACCTTTAACTTCTGAGGTGACATATTTTACAACGTGGTGGTAAATTTTACCCCTCTAAATATTACAGAAAAAAAACTTTGTTAAAATTTTTATTTGATAATAATTTGTTTTTCAAAAGTAAGCTTAAGCTTGTATATTTTAAATTACAATAAGTAAAAAAAAAAAACATTTTTTTATGTAAACAAAATTTTTATTCATTGTAATAGAATAGAGAATTTCAAGAAAATGTGAAAGGAGGGTAAAATCTACCACCGCCGCAGAAGTTAAAGGATAATAAACATTTCTCATGGACAGGCTATGGTCATTTACCAGATTAAACCATTATTATTGTGATTAGGATATTAAAATCTTACTTGAGTGTAATTAAAAAAAAAAACAGGGATGCGTTTTTATGAATAAAGCTGAATTTGCTGACGCACTACCTTTTTTCGCCAGACTATGGATGATGATGACTTTGTTTAGGCGCCATGTCCCTAACTTTAGTGCGATCTTACAGGTCAATCCAATACGGTAACTAGTAATATGCATATATTCCTTTCTTATGCTACCTATTAAGAAACACTTTATCATTAGAAGACAGCCAAAATGGAAAAAGAACATAGTAGCACAACGGGATCAGTGAATTTAGATGTCGATAGATAGGCAGCCTTAAAAATTAGAGGCCCATTCTGCAAAAGAAAGTAAGAAAGTCCTCTTGAAATGGGTGACTTCATTAAGCTTTGTTGGGTTTTAGGCCATAGTAATATAATGTCAAATCTATATCACGGTGGCCATATTGATTGGCCGCTGCAGTATCCGATGTCTGACCTCAAAATGGGGGAATGAAGAAAAAGTAGAGATAATTGAGCACATACTATACCGATGTTATCAAAAATGTGGCAACGACTATTTGGTAGGTGGGAAATATAAACTCTAATATTTTTCACAGATATAGATCCCATTATCATCTATAGGTATAGAAATCCTGGCTAGTAAACCATCCTGCTGGAACCTCTTCAAACTTATTTTTCTTCTTTTCTTCATACTATCTGTAGTGTTCTTTCCAAGCCGGATGATACAAAGATACCATTCACATTAACATATTGGTCAGAAATCTTATTTCCTTAACTTCGTGAATCATTCGTCACCAACTATTCATATCTTTCTTTCAGTTTGCTTTCAAATCAAGCACAAGGATGAGGAAAATTAGCCACAAGTCATCAAAAGAGACGATTGTTGTTCTTAAAACTAACCCCATACTATTGGCGAAGAAGTCTCATCAATAATATAATTTCCATCAAAACTAGTTTGCGGTTTCGATAAGGTTCACAACTAAAAGAAGCAACGCCCCTGCAACTGCAATGACACATGAAACAAAATACACATATAGTAGTTACATATAACAAAATCTACTTACCAATGTACCTTCCTCGCATGGACCTGCTTCGAAGGATTTTCTTTCGAAAATTTCTAACAAATCGTGCAAATCCTTTTGCGTCACTTCTTGCGTATTGGCCATTGTGCTGGTGGTGGTTGTTGTTGCTGGTGTCTGTGATGATGATGCATTTAATTTATGCAACAACGTACAAAAATATATTTCCCTATCTCTTCTCCTTCAGCTGTTTGCTTCTAATGTTTGTTGTAGTTATTATATGTTCGTATTTGTTTTGCGATTCTTTGCTGCTTTTTGTTGTTATTCCTTGTTTTTGTTGTCAGCGTAAAATATTTGTTCATTTAAATAATCTATTAAAACACGACGCACACATTCAGTCAGAGCATAGAGCAAAGCGAACCGATGCACACGTACACAATAAACAACGACAACAAAAACAAATCACACTTGTCGTTTTCTTTTTGTTTGAGTGGTTGTTGTTGTTGCTAATTTTGTTTTGTTTCATATACACTTTTTCACTTTTTGATGTTTCATTTGAATTGGTTTCTTTTTGTTGTTTTCGTTTTCAATTTGTTTAGCCAGCAATGCCAATGAGAAAAATATTTAAGTTGTTGTTGTTATTTTTTCCTTCTAGTTTTGCCCCCAAAACAGATAATAACAAGACGACGACTGCTTGCCTACAACAACAAGAACACACTCAACTAACTATATTAAAATCAGCCACAAATATTATTAGTATTGTTTATTGCGTATTTTAAATGAATGCTATGATGATGTGTTGATGTTTTTTTATGATTGTTACTGTGGTTGTTGTTGTTTCATTGGCTGCTAGTGGTGGAAAATCGAAACGCCTTGCCGTCTCCTTTACTTTTTTTTGGTTACTCCTCAACTTCCGAAAACGAAAACCTTATCGTTTGGGTGTTTTTTGTTGCGCAAATAAACTATGGGCCTTTTCACGTGAACTATGTTCGCATATATATTTTTTTATTAGAAAGTAAATACGCAAAAATTTTGCACAAGAACAATTCTGTTCTGTTTCTGCTCCGTTACACACCCGCACAAAATAATAAATAACTATGTTGATGGCGTTTGATGAGATATTTTTTGTTAATAAACAGCGAATTTGACAACGCGTCTACTGTTAGAGCTGGTAAACTAACGATGGCACTATCGATAATATCCATATCTTTTTCCATGTTTTGTTATCAATTGATAGTTTCTGCAATCGAAAATATCGTAACTCTCGTAGGGGTCTTACACTGCCTTTACACGGTGACATTTTTTAACCATGCCATTTTTTTTTGTTGGTAAAAGGTGTAGAGAGACAAGGATAGAAGAAAAAATTGCACGATAAGCCACCGCACAGGGTTACATGCCATTTTCTTTGCATTTCTCTTTTTGCTTCTTCCAAAATTTTTATGATTTTGACATTTCATATCGTTTCTTTATTGTAATTTTTGATGCGTTTCTTTTATTGTGATTTGATGTTTTTAGTGATTGAATTGTTTAGTGAATTATATGAAAATTAATTGGAAGTATTAAAAAAGTAAAAAAAGAAAGTTAAAATAAAAGTTAATAATGCAATATTTAACACCTCAATAACTTTTTCCATCATTTCTTCTTTAGATTCACACATTTAATTTTAAATCACTTCTTTATAAATATCTGTTACAAACAATTAGCTCTATACGAAATACTGAATAAAATAAAATGTCAGAAAAAATGCCAAGCACTATTATCGTAAAATGCCACCGTGTAAAGGCGCGAAGATTTACGCAGAAATTTTAAAAGAGAATTGATAAAAATGCCAGCTAAAAATTGCACCGTGTAAAGACAGTGTTACTTAAATAAATGCGTATATGCACGATTTTATTCACCACTGAAGTTAAATACACTTATACCTCGGTTAGCGTCGAAAATTGGGACCAAAAAAAAAAACGATTCACAAATGGTCTGTTCCAGTACCTGCAAGAATCTACTAGGTTTGCCATTTTCTTCGATATCATAAAGGGAAAATCGGTTATCGTAGAAAAACTTTTACATTTTTACAGTTCTGGAACAGACCAAAACTGAAACGACACAAACCGAATCATAGTTTTACATACATTTATATCAATTTTCATTCAATTCGTTCCATGATTCACAATTTTAGCAAAAAGAAAAACATGTAATTTAAAACTACCAACGAAGACAAACTTGTAGATAATACAAATACAATAGATGCAATAGAATTTCAGATACAAACCCCCATTAGACTTTTTATGCTCGAAAAAATTTTTCAACGTTTGATAACACTCAAGTACATTACAAAGGGGAATTACCTTTTCTTTGTTATTGTGTGTATAAGTGGTGGTAAGCATAGTACAATAAGAAGTTAGAACAGCTTTATAAAACTACAGAAAAACAGGCCCGATTCTGTCAGAATTAATCAAAATTAAATGCAACAACTTGTCTTCATTTATTTTGTATTTTTCCTCATTCTCGAAATTAGTTAAATAGCATGAAAATTAATGTAATGCCTGGATTTTGTATTAAAAATATCATCCAAACTATTTTATCTTTCAATTCCATGGTAAAACTAGTTAATATATTTAATGTCAACCTGCAACGTACGTTTCTTCCAAGCATTGATGGTGGAAATATTTTATTTTTTTTTAATAAATCTGGAAGCTTTACCTGACCTTGTATGTTTGTGGCAAGAATACAATAGTAAAAACAATTTGAGGCAGAGACTGCGATAACATAAATTAATTTACTAATATTGCAATCGAAACAAGATACAGCAGAAAGAAATACATTATTGATTAAGATGTAGTCCTATCTCTCAATTTGGCTACATGATCAAAATAAGAAAAGAATTCCATCGTGCAGGGACGTTATTTAAAATAAAGCTCTTAAGAAAGATAATGCATAAAGGTGTGGTTAGGTAAGCAATACCTTAAGAATGTTTCGTAACCAGTAAGTTTTCGTAAGGTTTGGGTTTCGAAGTTACCGAATTTTATCGGTAACTCAAAAAATGAGTTAGAGAATCCCACTACTGATTGAATAAATCCGGATTAAGCAATAAATCCTGATATCGTAGATTAATCCGGATAAAATATTGTATCTAAACGCGCTAATATCCCACCTAAGAACCAGAGCGTAATTTCCAACTTTAATTTGTACTATTTAAGACGAACTTTTCGGCAACTTCCGGATTCAGCAGACCAAAAGTATAAACTGTCTATGAAAGACTTCTGGAATAATTACAACATAATAGATTTTTTATCAAAAATATTTTAGTGTATTTGTAAGGAAAAAGGTTACTTAAGTTGCGTCGCTTTGACTTAATCGTATTTGGGTATAGTCTAAAAGTGCTTAATATAACTTATACGCCAATGAATTTACAGTTAAAATCCACTCGTTTTGGAAAGTCTAAGCCAACTTTAACTGTAAACAAGCAACGTTTCTTGTTTTTGTGGTGAGATCGAGTGTACAGGGTGACACAAATAATGAATAATTCAATTTATTTTTTGAATACAAGGTACGCTAATTTTGAAAAAGTTGCAAGTAAAGAGGCCTAGCTGTATGGATTGTAATGTCAGAATTACTATCAAAACAAATGCATTAGGTTTTTTGTATTGAATAAAACCAGCGCCGCTCAAGAAAAAATATGTCTTTCCAGTCAAATTTCTCTTTGCTTATTTAAATCAGGAACAAAACAGTGTCAAGTCATTATTTATACAAACATTTTTTATCCATTTGCTTTATAAATTATTTTGGCAAACATTTATGTTTAAAAACAATTAAATGTAATCGTAAAATATAAATAAAAACAGAATTTAAATTTTCTCTTAAATTATCTCTTTTTTCGGCTCATGTTCTAGAACATACAACATTGTTGGTACAATAATAACAAGGTAGGGCTATGATACCATATGATTTTAATTTTTTTTTTGTTTTCTTGGTTTAATATGTCAACTTTATTTGTTTATTTGTGTGAATTCACTTTCAATAGTAAAATAATTGTTCAGAAAATATTCAAATTCGGATGTTTTCAAACGTGTGCATCGGCAAAATCTACAATTTTTGTAGCGAAATAAACCTTTAAACATATATATATATAGAACATGATTTTCAAAAGAAATTTTAACCTTTCATCCAGTTTTCGCGGGCTTAAATACCATATGATTTTAATTTTTTTGTTTTCTTGGCTTAATATGCCAACTTTATTTGTGTGAATTCACTTTCAATAATAAAACAATTGTTCAGAAAATATTCACATTCGGGTGTTTAAAAACGTGTGCATCGACAAAATCTACAATTTTTGAAGCGAAATAAACCTTTAAACATATATATAGAACATGATTTTGAAAAGAAATTTTAACCTTTCGTCCAGTTTTCGCGGGCTTAAATTATTTACTCAAAAACAATACAACAAATTGTTTAGTTTTTTATTGTTTTTATTGTAACTCTGACATTACAAGCCAAACAGGTAGACCTCTATACTTGCAATTTTTTCAAAGTTAACCTACCTTGTCTTCATTGATACATACCTAGTAATAAGCATATTGATTGCAACTGAATTTAACTATTTTCTAAACAATTTTCATACAATTAAAAATAACATAAACATACACATGTTAAGCCAGAGCCTCAATTATTGTTCTATGGAAATGTGAAATGAAAACTTTTATATAGGAAAGAAATATCAAATAAAATTTTTTATAAAGGAAATAGTTTTCATTTCATATTTTCATAGAACAAGAATCCAGCCCCGGGACAATAAAAAATTGAAATCAATTGGTTGCAGTGCCCTACCATGGCCTACATAAGGTCGGCTAGTAGACCTTACCCTCTGTGAAGTTGGTTTTTAAAGAATGGGTCAATATTGTCCATTTCGTATCGGACCTAAATAATTAGGCTTAGATATAGCAAGTTGAAAAGGATCGCTGAGTTGTTTCGCAAATTATGACAGATAAAAGTATTGAAAATTGTGTCCCTTTGTGGGTGAGGTACCGGAAGGGGTTCGCAGATATATAGCATCTTCACAACAGATCTTCTGTTAACAAAAATGTTTGTGTGTGTGAAATTTCGCTTTCTTTGAGCGCTATGTTTTTCAAAATCTTCAACCCTATGTGGAGCAAGTAGCATAATAAATGGTCCGATCTCTGCCATCTTTATAGCAGATCTTGTGTTGATGGAAATATTGAGATGTACAATGTCTGGAATGGAATCGGATGTTTATTTCGCTTTTTATGAACTTCATGGATATTCAAAATTTTGGGCGTTTGTGGTACCAGAAGGAGTGGACCGATATTGCCCAGCTTGACACCAGACTTTGGGTTTGTATAAATATTGGGATGTGTGAAATTTGAAGACAATCGGACTCTTACATCATATTTTATGAGAGTTGAAATTATTCAAATTTTTGACCATTTGTGGGGAGGTACCTGATGGAGTGGACCGATCCACACCTAACCTAGCACTGATGCAAATATTAGGATTTGCAAAGTTGGAGCAAGATCTGATTATCCTTTCTCTTTCTGTGCAAAAAATATATTTTTTGCAAATTTCGACCTTTTGTGCTGGAGGTACCAGAAGGAATGGACCGATATTGCCCATTTTTACACCAGACCTTGGGTTAATATAAAATTTGGGATGTGTGAAATTTGAAGACAATCGGACTCTTACATCACATTTTATGAGAGTTGTAATTATTCTAAATTTTGACCATATGTGGGGGAGGTACTTGATGGAGTGAACCGATAGTGTCTATTTTTATACCCTACACCACATAGTGGTAAGGGTATTATGTCTTTGTGCATTTGTTTGTAACGTGGAGAAGGAAACGAGATAGACCCATAGTTACTTTTGAGAACCTTCATAGAATCACTTTCTGAGTCGATTTATGCATGTCAGTCCGTCTGTCCATGTATTCTTGTGAACAAAATGCAGGTCGCATTTATTATCCGATTGAGATGAAATTTTCCAAACAATATTTTTTTGGCCCAAGGACATAGCTCCCATATATATCTTCATCCGATTTCGGGTTAAATGTGCACCAAATGTCCACTATCAGTCCAAATTACCTGAATTTTGGCACACCCAACCGAGTTCGGCCTAGAAGCAAGTATATCAAATTTCGAGAAAATCGGTTCAGATATAGCTATAGCTCCCATATATATCTTTCATCCGATTTGATCTTTAAGTCCCTCACATTCCTACTATGCACTCCACAACCGTGATATTTGGTACCAGGTATTAGATGGAGCACAGAAATAGCTGTTTTAAATTTTATCGAAATCGGTTCAAATTTGGATATAGCTTCCATATATATCTTCATCCGATTTCGGGTTAATTGGCCACCAAATGGCCAATATCAGCCCAAATGGCCCGAATTTTGGCACATGTGACCGAGATTAGCCTTAAAGCAAATACAACAAATTTGGAGAAAATCGGTTCAGAAACAGCTATACCTCCCATATATATGTTTTATCCGATTTGGTGTTTAAGCCTCTCACATTCGTAATATGCACTCCACAAGAATGATATTTGGTACCAGATAAAAGATACAGCCCAGAAATAGCTGTTTGTAATTTTATTGAAATCGGTACAGATTTGGATATAGCTCCCATATATATCTTCATCCGATTTCGGGTTAATTGTGCACCAAATGGCCGATATAAGTCCAAATGGACTGAAGTTTAGTACATCGGACCAAATTCAGCCTAGAAGCAAGTATATCAAATTTTAGTGTTTTAGTCCCTTACATTCGTAATATTCACTCCACAACCGTGATATTTGGTACCAGGTATTAGATGGAGCACAGGAATAGCTGTTTTAAATTTTATCGAAATCGGTTCAAATTTGGATATAGCTTCCATATATATCTTTATCCGATTTCGGGTGATTGACCACCAAATGGTCGTAATAGCATCAATTTTGGCAAATCCGACCGAAACCAGCTTAGAAGCAAGTACACCAATTTTAGTAAAAATCGGTTCAGATATAGCTATAGCTCCCATCCGATTTCGTGTTAATTGTGCATCAAATGGCCAATATCAGCCCAAATGACATGAATTTTCGTACATAAAACCGAATTCAGTCTAGAAGCTAATATGTCAAATTTGGAGAAACCCGGTTCAGAGATAGCTATAGTTCGTAAAATGCACGATAGAATTAGATAGATTTTGATTTTGTACCAAATATCTCATAGAGCTCTGAAATGCCCTGTATAAACCTTTTTACGAGAGCTCTACTAAATATGCATAGTGGTGTAGGGTATCATATAGTCGGCCCCGCCCGACTTTTGAGCTTTCCTTACTGGTTACACTTGATCTAGTACTGATGCAAATGTTAGGATTTGGAAAGTTGGAGCAAAATCGCATTATCCTTTCTTTTTCTGTGCAAAAAATATATTTTTTGAAAATTTCGACCATTCGTGGGGGAGGTACCAGAAGGAGTGGACCCATGTTTCCCATCTCCGAACTCGATCTAAGTTTGACAAAAATATTACGATGTACCAAGTTTGGACTAAATCGGATACTCCCTTCGAGAGTTATCGTGCGCACCAGCCAGCCAGACAGACAGACGGACGGACGGACGGACATCGCTAGATCGACTCCAAATGTTCTGAAACGGATTTGGTCCAAAGAGACATAGGATTTAAAACCGTTATTTCGACTAGGCACGTTTTGACCGTATCAAATGATATATACCCTCTGTAGCCATATCGCAGAGGGTATAAAAAGGAAATGAGCAATAAAAGATTGATGTTATGCGTTCCCCGGAATCCTTTAAACGTGCTGCTAATGGTGTTCGCTTAAAAAGTTGGAAATAGTCTTTTATTTTCTTATTACATATTAATATTTATTTTCACATTTTGTAAAGTTATTCTCAAAAAACAATTAGTCTTGCTCATTCCAAAAAAAAAAAACATTTTCAAATTGAAAGCACAAAAGAGATAAAGAAATAAACAAACAATGGAAAACATCTGATTGAATGTCGATTAATGAGAAGAAGAAGAGTTTCATGTGATTGCAAGAAGAAATTTGTCCAGAAAGAATTTGCAAACCCTCACTGAAACAACTGTCAAAAATTCTCTCTCCGACCGCTCTCTTTTGCAGAACTTTCGGGTTAACAGGCGACTTCCAGTAACAATTTGTAACAATCGTTACAAATTTTATGGTAACCATACACACCAGACACGTCTTCCGTAGATTTACAGATTTACTTCCTAAGCACACATTTTAAAATAGTTTAACTTCCATTAAAAAATTTTCCTAATAAATCATTGAAAATAAAATAATTTTAGTTTTTAGTTTGTTTTTATCGAAGGAATTTTTATTTTGTTTTAAACGTGCTCGTCGTCTTTTTTCCACCATATAAATGTTTTGTGTTTGCCATATTGGTTTTCTCATTTTTTTCTTAATTTTAAATCAATACATTCATCAAATCTCTTAAATCCAATTTGTTTGTTTGTGTTTTTTTTTTTTTTTGGATTAGATTTTTTGTTTTGTTTTTGTATACCAGTCTTTATTTTAAAATTTCTTTTAATTCACATTCAATTCATGGTTTATTCTATTTGTAACTACCATATCTCGCTCACGGTACGAAAAAAAATGTTAACATGGAATATATAAATGTATTAAATTAAATAAAACTTTTATGAGAAAAACATAAAAAATAAACAAGGGAAACGGGGACGTTTTTAATAAACTTTTTGTGTTTTAATAAATATATATATTTTTTTCATATTTTATGATAATGTTTTTTTATTATTAGTTTTTTTTTGTTTCTTGATTAAACTTAAATTACATTTATATGATTTTTTATTCGTAATTTTTAAATTTTAAATGGTTGTTTTGTTTTTCTTGAATAATTATTTTTTATGCTTATGTTTTTAGAATAATAATTTTTAATAGTTTTAAATAAAAGTATTACAATTTAATTGCAATACCCTGTAGGGAATTGATAGAGGGATTAACTGTATGATTCCTTGCCATTAATTTTTAATTTATTTTTTATATATAAATTCTATGTGGTATTTTTTTCATATAAGTTATGGTATGCCTAGGAGTGGGATGCCTGTATTAAAAAATTGTTAAAATTAACCAAATTATTTTTATATTTTCCTTGTAAACTAACTAGCTACTAGGCCATAGGATTACAAAAAAAACTAATCTCAAAACTAACTTTCTTAGGGAGTTAGATACAGGTATTTTATGAAAGAAAAGCCCAGCTTATGAATTGCAAGCGAGATAAATGGCGAACATGAATTTCACTCCATTCTCATGCAAAAACCCGAACTTCTTTCATGAAATATCCTGGCCATTTTGGTTAATTATTCAGACAGTTTTGACATATTGTTCTGTAAAAAGGAAGAGGGGTTTGATGTTGATGAATTTAATAATTATTGGTGGGAGTAATTAAGAGATTTTTTAAAAAATGAATTAACAAGGACTTTGGTTTCTACAATGAATTTTCTTTTTTTTTATAATATTAAATGTGAGGCGGTTTTGGGGAGGGGTCTATGAAAGTAGCTTTCCTATGATGTATTCATAAAATAATAAACAATATAGTACAAAAAATGTAATTTTTCTCTTTCATTTTTTTTTTGTTTTATGATGTATAAAATTAAACTTATAAAAATCATTTGTTTGTTGTAATTCTCAATATTTTTGTTGTTTTTCGCTTGGGGTTCTTTCATACATTTAAAGTACAAATCAATCAAGTACTTTTCCTATAAGAATAACATAGTTAATAATAACATAAGAAGTTTAAAAGAAAAAATTTAAAGGAAATATATAATTTTTAAAGAGAGGGTTCTTTTTTGTTGTGGTTGTTATTTATAAACATTACAAAAAGGCAACAGAGAATAGAGCTAAAGGACATTTATAATAAGGAATCTTCACTTCCGTTGTTGTGGTTCTTGATTTTCGCCTGCTTTTAATATACAAACCTATTCATATTATTTAGCATACTATTGCCACCACAACCACTGGCCGGCGGTGGTTGTTCTTCGTCATCATCATCAAAACTATCTCGTCGTGAGCCTTTGTTCTTGTTATTAACACCCTGATTTGAATTTGCCAACACTGCATTAGCCTTGAATCGTCGCATTTTTAATTCTTCCGAGAATGCATAGTTGTCGTGGGTAACCATGTCCCTTAGATCGCGAGGTAATTCTTCCAATGTCAACAGCGACGGTACATCGACTTTAATGACTTTTGTCGATGCCGATGTGTCGGGTGTTTCATTCGATCTCGCTCCCATTTGATAGAACAGTATATAGGGTGTATTGGGTGGTGTTAAATTGTGCAATTCTTCGGTACGTGATGGCGTTACAATGCTGTCATTGAATTTGTACCATTTATTTGTGGCATCGGCTGCATATGTGTAATAGTGTCCAGAATCCATGCTAAAACCGGAATGTACAACGCCGGCATAGATGTCATAATGTACGGTGGAAATTTCTTCGAGGGTTTCGGGTGAGCACACTTTAAGGGATACCTGGAATGGGGATGGCGAAAGGATATAAACAAAGATTAGCAAAGAAGGTAAAATAATATCCATATGTGTGTTGTTGGTCGAAATCAAGTAACATATATCCGAAAAACTAATATACAGGGTGAGATAAAAAACTTCAACAAAGTCAAACGCCATAATTTTAAAATTTTTTTAATTTTATTGAATGAAAGCTAAAAGTTTAGATTTGTTCGAGTTGTTCACCTTTGGCACGAATTGGGGCTTTCAAACAGCCAATGAAACCGTCACACGCTGCCCGAATGTTGCTCTGCGGTATTTTGGCCCATTCCCGGCGAAGCGCTTGCTTGAGGTGATCGACACTTTGGTATTTTTTAGTGTCAACCATGCTTTCCAAAATACTCCAGACACAATAGTCCAACGGATCGGTATCCGGAGATTTTGGTGGCCATTGTGCGCTGGAAATGAAGCGAGGAACCTCATTTTGTAACCATTCTTGGGTGTCGCGGGCGATGGTGCTGAGTCCTGCTGGACTGCCCAAGGTCTGCGGCCAAAATGTTTGCGTGCCCAAGGCTTTAATACACCCTCCAGAATATTTTCTCAATCATATTCGTCATTTATTCTGATGCCACGGTCGATTAATACGAGCGGAGAGCGACCATCGGCTGTTATGGCGGCCCACACCATCACCATGGCGGGGCTTGAGTTCTGGTGGCCAACCGAAGGTGCACATTTTCAGCTTACCTCTTTGGCAAGTAAGCACCATAATTTTGTTTGTTTACAAACTGCTGGATAACGAATCTTTTCTCATCGGAGCTCATGGGAGAAAACCAAATTCGGCAGTTCACCACTTTCGGCCAAGCGAAGCAAATATTTAGCTCTTTTGAGTCTATTTACTTTCTGTTGCGGTGTAAGTTCTTTCACTTTTTGGAATTTCAATGACTTTATCCCGAGCTCATTTTTCAATATTTGCGGAATTTAATATTGCGATATGTTCGGCTCACGAGTCATTTTTTCGGCCATTGCGACGCGGGTTTCGATCAAGTCGCTTTTTCACTTTTCGAACTATTTCTTCTGATGTTGCTGTTTTCTTCCGTCCAATTCCTTGACGTCGGGCTACGCTTCCAGTATCACGGTAACGAGCGATGGTACGAGACACAAAAGATTTATTCACATTTAAATGCTGATGCTGGAGTGTTCTAACGATAGCCATTTGTGGTTTTCCTGCCAAATATAAAGAAACCACACTGTCACACTTGAATTCCATCACGAGTAACTTTTCTTCTGGAAAATTCCCACCAAAATGCTTTTGTACGCTTGTAAACAATATAATGTGCTGTCACTGGAATAATTTTAACAGCTGTCGGACGAGTGGCTTAGAAATGAAAGCAGTCTGAAGTTGGTTGCAGTTTTTTCATCTCACCCTGTATTTTTGGAATCGGAGTGTCCGAGCTATAGAAGTATTTTTCCAATAATGTAGTTTTCAGCAAGGTAGGTCAAGTTTTCAACAAGGTATTTTCTCACGCTTTACTGACAATTTCCTTTTCGTACTAAATTTTACTTATTTCTATCAGAATTTGAGCTTGTTTTTTCCATCTCTTAGAGCGAGCAAATTAAGTAAATTTGATACTTTCTCCACTCATTATTGACCGGTGTTGGGCAATATGTCCAAAATGAATATTAAACAAAAAACAACAACAATTTTTTTTCCAGAAAACACATCCACTACTCACCTTTTCATCATGAAATACCTTGTGCATCAATTTGGCACGCATATGATATTTTTGATCATATTTAAAATGTTTCAGTGTCAATATTAGATTCTTTGGCGCACTTATAACATTTATATAACGTTCAGCATCCGATAGTTTCTTGCAGCGTTCACAAAAATATTGATTATCACCATAGAGTTTTTCCGATGAACAATAGTATTCAATGAGGTCCTGTACTGAATAATTGGAAGCACAATCATTTTTAACATCGGGAAAGGATAGCTGTAAATCACGAAAGCTATCGATGTTGCAACTTTTCCAGCCGCATGTTAAACATTTATAGGTGGTGGCCAGTTTGCCGGTGAATGTCTTTTCGATTGTCGAATATGTTGTTGCAGCAGCTGATGCAGGAGATGCCGTTGCGGAGGCGGAACCGGCTGCTGCATGCGATAGATGTTTGGAGTTTGAATGTTTTAAAGTATTGTCTTTAGTATTTGTGGTTTGTGTGCATAAGGAATCGGCGGCTTGCGTGGATATGTTTTGGCTATTTGTTGACTTTTTAGGTTCGACAGCCTCTTTGAGCTCTACATCATCGTCGTCTAGATCGTCTTCATCATCACCAAGACCATTATTATCGCCACCATTGCCATTTGGTTGACATAAAGCCGATGCCCCCCTTGAATCCGAGGGTGAGCTGAGTTCATTGTTCTTATTGGCTTTCTTATTGAAGGTAATTTCCTGTTCATGTAATGTCTCCAAAAGATAACCCAAAAACTCCGAACTATCTTGTTGTAGACCCGGTGAAAATCCTGGTGGTCTTGTGGCATTCAACACCTTGGATGGTGTCAGTTCTTGGCGGGTAGAATAGAGCATTAAAGCTATTTGTTGTTGCATTTTTATCAATAGTGGGGACTTGGATTCGGATAGAAGGATTTCACGGGTAAATCTAAAAAGAAAAAATACACAAATTTAAATATTTCCAATATTTTTTTTTTCTTTTAGGGGACTATTTACTCTTTTGTCATGGCCAATGCCTGCAGAACACTGTTCATATAGCAGGTGTTGCCCAAGTTGACCAAACCCACTTTGGCATTGCCTTGATTTGAATAGTTCTCAACACCCGTCGAATCGAAAGTTTTATTGCCATAGGCATAACTTAAATAGTTACTGGAGGGTTGGAAATCTTTCAGGGCCAACTCAATTGGTTCATACATGTCATCATAACGGAAAAATCTAACCATTAATGCACTTGCTCTATCTACCAATTGCTTCAGTATGGCCTTGGTGCTTTCGGCATATTCTTCGGAACTATTGGATTGCTGTTTCAGCATTGTTATGACTCGGGGAAAACGAGGTATGATCTGAAACAGAAGAACATATATTAATGTTGAAAGCTTTTTTATGTTTACCTACAACACTTACCTTATGGAACACCTCAGGTGTTTGGTCTGTAGACAACATATGAAATACAATTGGTGCCACTTTGGGCCTTAACACTGGCACAATTAACGATGAAAACAATTGATCAATATTCTCCAATGCAATTTGATCCACCAAGGTTGTCTTTTGCTGCTTCTGCAAGCCATTCAAAATGGCCATTATCCAAATATTGAGATTTTGACAAAAGTTACAAATTCGCAACCATTCACACAGTAGCCCCACTGTTTTGCGTATACTCTGATCTGGGACATCGACATCGAGCAGCGATTGCACAGCCTCAAGAATCATATCCGTACTGAAGAGTTGAAATATCACGGCCAGAGCACACGAGGGTTGTTCACCATCGCTCATGGTAATCAATTCACATACCAGTGGCAAGAAGGTGTGATAATAGATCACCTTTTCATTGTTTTTGGCAAAAAATGCCCCCACCTTGGCCATGTCATCTTTGAAGCGTTTCAAGTCCGCTGCCGATTGTCGCGGTATTTGTACCCGCGCCAATTTCCATATTAAATGGCTATATATCTCCATCATTTTCTTGCTCAAATCCATTTCTTGTTGTTTCTTTTCGACAAATTCGATCAATTGCAAGATTTGGGCAATATCAGTGGTTTGAGATGCCATTGGTGTGGAATTGCTACCGGCTACACCACCACCCACATTGGGTGATGCCGAGACATTTAGCTTTTTTGCCTTAGCAAAGGCTCCTGTATTGCCGCTGCAGCCGGGCAATTCGGCATTACTCGTTACACCCAAACCGGATGGGTTAAGGCCACCACCCCCACCGCCATCGCTATTTGCCCCATTTGCATTCATTTTCTTCGATTTCGTTATTGTCCCGGTAGCTTTTACACCGGTGCCATTCACTTGATTAGCATCCGCTGATGAACCATTCGACTCAGTGTTGTTTTGCTTAACAGCCATAACGCAATGAAGTCCGAAATGAGATGTGTCCTGGGATTGCTGTTGTTTGCTCTCTCACCAAACGACTCTACAGCCTCACAGTGGAGATGAGAACAAAAAAAAACCTCCTCCAACCAACAACAACGGCGAGGTCGTCAGTTCAGTCGTCAGGTGTCCTTGATCTGCTGTTGTTTTTGTTGTTGCAATGTTTTGCTATGTGTGGCAAAGTCTAGCGTCGACAACAACGAAGTCTGCTGTGCTCTGCGACGACAACGGCAACAACGATGATGCACTACTACTGAGCAATGAACTTTTTTTTCGCCAAAACAAAAACTATATTATTTTGATCGTACGTTTGTTGTTGTGTATTATCCAAGCAAATTTTGCACTATTTTCTTTTCCTGTTTTTGTTTTTTCGCTCCAATTTTGTCACTGGAATTCTTTTTCCTCTGTTGTGTAAAATTTATGTATCGTATTTTTACGCCTTTCTTTTTTTCCACTCTATTTTTCTCGTGTCTGTTATTTTTCACTTCTTGATTCGATGCTGCTTATTACGTTGCACTTTTGAAGGGTTAGAGGATAATTTCGGATCTGTTTCGTTTCCCTATAAATATTTATTATCTTTTTGTTTGCTCCGAGAAAATTAATTAAAAATTACACTTATTATTGGTTTGCGATTTGGTAAGAAGATGCTTTCGATAAACAGTGATGAGGATGTGTAATCGATAACGAAAATGCACAACACTATTCGATAACAACGAGTGAATAACGAACGAGGGCAACTCATGGATTAATTTACTTAAGCAACATTTATACGAGGTTGAATTTAAAAGACTGATTACATTTGGACTATTGGAGAGCTTGCCAGAATGTACGGACACGGTCTACGCGGACCAAAGGTTTTCAAAATTGTCTCCTCTGGATATGTCAACACCGGCTACAGAAAATAAGTGTTTCATTGTTTATAAGTGTTTCGTTGATCACTTAAAGATCTTTAGTTTCGTCTGTTTACTCTTCACATAAACTACCTAACTTTCTGAGCAATAACTTGTTTGAGAATTCCTGCAGGAAAACAAACCAATTTTGTAAAAATTATTATGAAATTCATGCCAAAATCCTGCTTAAAATAGAACTAAAAGATGAAGAAATGTTGGCAGTTGTTCAATTGTTCCCATGTGTAGCATAAGTACAGGTGATCTGACATTTGTAATCTTCCTGGAAATGTCAGTGTCAAATTAAAATTGCGGGTTCACGTAGATGACAAAGTTTTGCGGCTGATCACTTGTAAAATGATAAAAAATGATTTCGATAAATTTATTATACAGGTTGAGGTCTACCATGCCTGTATGTAGGTAGGTGCATGGTACAATGAAGAGAAGGTAGGCCAATCCTGTTTGGCTTTTTTTTTTTTTTTTTTTTTTGTACTTCTACGTCGTCAAGTATGTTGGTGGTTAGAACACTTTCGTGCCCATTCACCATGACCGGTTATTGGTTACTTGAAAAGTATCAGTACTCTTTTATTTTCGTTTTCTTTTTGTTTACAGTATATGTGTGTTTACAGAATGTAGTGATATGAATGAAATACATAAGAAATCAAAACAAAAAAAAAATCAAAACTAAAGGAAAAAATAAAGAACTGTCAGCAAATATGATGATTATTTACAAATAAAAGTCAAACTTCAATTTTGCAAAGTGCAATAAAGTTGATTAATTCATCTATATTTTGTTGGTTTTTGGACATCAGGATTTCCGGTAAGTTATTAAATTTCTTGAACAAATCAAAATCATTCCTATGATTTTGATGCTTTTTGCAGAAAAAAATTATGTGTTTTTCATCTTCAATTTCGTTGCAGGTTTCACAAAGATTTGAGTCAGCAATTCCAATCCTGTGGAAATATTTTTTGGTGTAAGTATGACCAGTGAGCAATCGATTAACAATCTTTATGTTTTCAGGTTTCATGTTTGATGAAAAGAACCAGGGCTGTTTAGCAGGCGCCGGGAAGAATTGGTAGAAGTAAGTTCCTTTAGTCCGTGAGATGTCCTTGTAATTTTCTATAAACTCATTCCACAGGAGTGACTCAATGCGTTTCGACGCATCTGTGACCGACAGACAGAAGTTGATTGGTGAACCAACATTTGCTGCATGCTTCGCAAAATAATCGGCTGTTTCATTGATTGGTATACCGACATGGGAAGGTGTCCAAACAAACGAGATTTTAATTAAATGCGAATTAACTATTTTGTTTAGAATATTGTACACAGTGAAATTGTGAGATGTGTTGTTTTTAAGCAGAAGACAAGCATTTTTGCTGTCTGTAAATAAAGCAGCTGTGCTGACACCGTCTTCGATCATCAAATCAATTGCCTTTTCAATTGCACATAGTTCACCAGTAAGAGAAGAAAGTTTTTCATTAATTTTGAAAACAAAATTTTGATTAGCAGATATATTGCAGACAGCGCAGCCTGTGTTGTTGTTAAAAACAGCAGCATCCGTCGCCCAAATAGAAACGCCTTCGGATCTGAAGTCGTTAATTAATTCGTAGTAGTGTGCTTTGAAATATTCTGTTGGTGTATTGTTTTTGGTAGTATTAAATATATCCAGCATGAAATCTACCTTGTTGGTCGGATGTTGATTGTAACCAATTTTGAGATTTTCAAAAATTGTGCGAAACTTTGTATAGACATATCCAAGACTAGTTTTTCTTGAGGTATTTGAGGTGAAGTATTCATACAGAGAAGAGTTGTATATTTTAAGTCTTATCAATTCTTTAGCCGCCAAGTGTTGAGCTCTTAAATCTGTTGGTAGCATACCAGCAAGAGCGTATACCACATGATTTGGAGTGGAAGGCACCAGTCCCAAATTTTTTCTTAACAACTGATTTTGAAAGCTTGTTAGCTTCTTGTTTATATACATTGGTCTGTGAGCCATCGATGAGATTGCATATTCGGTCTTTGAAAAGATAAGTGATTTTGACAGGTTTATAGCTTTTGCGGGATGAATTCCACTTTTTGGACCCGTGACCATTTTTAAAGCATTAACAGTATTTCTGCAGGATATCATCACCTCTTCGTAGTGCTCCTTGAGTGATAGACTGTTTTTAATATGTCTCCCTAAAAATTTGATGGACTTAACAACATTTACTTGGACTCCATTTAGTAAAATGTTGGGATTTCTCCGACCTCCTTTAGCCACGTACATTACTGAAGTTTTCTCAACATTGACGTCAAGGTTTAGTTTTTTTAATAAGGATACCATGTTATTGGTTTTGATTTGTAAAATATTGTTGGCACTATCAAAGTCATGGCTTGCCACAAGCAAAATAAAATCATCCGCATATTGGAAAATGTTTGTGTTTTCATCAGCTAAACCATGGAGGCCTATTGTGTATAGGTTGAATAGTGTTGGGCTTAAACAACTGCCTTGAGGGATCCCATTGTATATATTTAGGGTGGAGTTTCCCATACAAAGAGTCCTTTTGCAGAGAAAATTGATTATCCATAATCTTATTTGGAGTGGAATGTTTATTTCTATTAAAATCCTCTTCAGGTAATTTATATCGACACACTCATAGGCTTTCGATACATCCATCGAGAGAACAATCACCTTGTCATTTTTTTCTTTGGAGGTGTTTATTGTGTGTAGTATGTCATTAATGCATGTTGAAGTTGACACATGTTTGCGGTATGCATAAGATCTAGGTGGAAGAGTTTTATGTTCATCTAGAAAATCATTGAGCCTTTGTTTGACCATGAGGTTTAAAATCTTTGCCAGTACAGATATTAAAGCAATTGGCCGAAAATTTGTGCAGATGTCTAAATTTTTTCCTTTTTTCGGTATGGGAACAATTTTTATTCTCCTCCATTCTTCAAAAAACTCACAGTTTTTCCATTGATTATTAAAGGAATTCAAAAGGTGCTGCTTACTATCTTGGGATAGTTTATTAACCATTTCATAAGTGATTCCATCCAGACCAGCTGCAGATGGTTTAGTTTTTTGCTGTAGAACATTGTCTAGTTCTTCCATGGAGAAATTTGCAGATTGATTGTTATAAATTGAAATGGATATAGTTTGTCTGTTGTTGGGAACCTGTTCACTCAAATGACGTAAGAAGGCTTCGTTGTTGTCAGTGTTCCATTTAGAAGCAGATTGGGGTTCGAAAACCGATTTACAGCTCTTTACATAACGGAAAAGCGATTTTGAATTAGATAATTGGCTTAAATCTGACAGTTTACGACGTTTGTCGCGATTTTTGGCACATTTTACGGCTTTTTTGAATTTAGATATAGCGTTGATTGCACTCAGGGCATTTTCAGTGGTTTTGTATCTATCAAATTTCTGTTCTGCGGCCTCTTTTTGACGTAAGAGTATGGTAATGTCATTATTCCACCATGTTTGAAATTTTGTTTCAGCAGTAATGAGAAAAGTTGAATTTTTTATTGTTGATTTTAGCTTCGATTGAATATCATTCATATTGGAATCAATTTTTAGATTTGATAAGTTTTTGAAGAGATGTTTTTTTGCTAGGAAGTACTGTTGCTTTGATGTGAAATTATCTATGTTAATAAGGATTGGTCTGTGGTGGCTTCCTCCTATGCTTGTATTTTTTACATTCCAATTAAAGTTTGAAGACATATTTGTGAAGGTAAGATCTAACACAGAACCGAAAGAACTGTCAAATAGATTCTTTTTAAAGGTTGCTGAGCCATCATTAACACAACGAAATGCCGAACTGTCCATCAAGGTTTGCACAGTGGATCCTCGAACTGTGTCAAAAACGTCACCATATGCTTTACATCTTGCATTAAAATCCCCGCCAATAATGACATTTGATTTTCCATTTAGAAAGATTAAAAGTTTTGATACTTCAGTTTTTAAAACATTGGATTTTACAGAATGCGGAAAGTATACTGAGACAATCGTTAAATTTTGAGACAGGTTTGTAGTTTGACATATTAAGATGTCTAAATCCGATGCAAAAGGTAATTTTTTCATTTTAATAGTTTTTTTGTGCAGGATGGCAACGCCACCATAATTGTCGATTCTTTTTTTACAGAATAATCCATAATTGTTTACGTAAGATGATGATGCATTTTCATCTACATTAAAAATTTCGCTTAAGATGCATATATCGACAGAAAATTTGTTTAAGTAAAGTTCTAAATAATTTTTATTTTTATTCAAACTTTGTATGTTGTGCTGTAAGATTATCATGTTCGGTTTGGTTAGAACTGGAAGGTCCATCTATTGCTGGTGCTTTTAAGGCATTTGAAAAACTGTCTAAGATCTGTAATCCTTCTGTACACTTGGCATTGGTTAATGCGGCAGCCATTTGTTGAGTGAAAGTGGATAATATTTTTTCATACTCAGAAACTTTGAAAAAATTTGAGAATTCAAAGGATGGTTTAGAGGGTACAATCGTTTCCTGTTCAGCTGTAATATGTGTTCTACGAGGTATTGATGCTGCTACTTTATTGTAATTGACTTTAGTTCTCCTTCTGTTGAGTTCATCATTGAAGGAAGTAACTGGTCTTCTGCTTGTTTTAGAAATTTGGGGAAATTGATTTTCATAATTTGGTTCATCTAAAATTTCAAAGTAATTGTTTGAAACTTTAGGGATACATTCTTTCCTTGAAAGGTTGGTGATTGCCATAGCCTCCAGAATATTTTTTTCATTGCTGTATCTTTTGCATTTTTTGACATCCATGGCATTGTGATCTTCCATGTTGCATAGTATACATCTGGGTAGAATACAGTATGTTTTGCATTTAATTGTCGACAAACATGTATCACATTTTGGCTCTGTGCAGTTTGTGGGACATTCAATGTTTATCCCGCAAAGAAGGCATCTTTTTTTGGCTCTACATTTTACGGCTATATGACCTAAACGACCGCAATTTTTACATAAGCGTACAAGTGGAATATATAAATCCGTCTCCACTATAGAGTTGAACATTTTAAGTTCTTTTACAACGTAGTCCGCTACAATACCTACTTTAATGGTTTGCGACGGCACATACTGACCATTTTCATTTTTGTATTTGAAACGATATACTGATACAGCTTTGAAATCATTGTCGCTGCTGTTGATTTGATCATATATCATTTTGCCAGTGAATTCTACTGGTACGGATTTAATAACATAAAATTTTTGTACAAATCTATCTGGGATAAAAGCATTCAAACCAATAGATTTTACATTTGGATCCAAAACAAAATTATTTGCCGAGTTATAATTGTTGAAGCTCAGGCGGAAGGTTTTATATGCAATATTCTTTGATACAAAATGAGCATTTATGTTGGCACTGGCTAATTTGGCATACAAATGTAATTCTGAGTTCTTTCTTCTAGGGCAAATGGGCTCATCAGAAGTAAGAAGTACATAATATGGACCTGGATGGGCTGGGCTGTAAAGAATTGTTTGGTTTTCATAGTTATCATAGCTGTAAATATCTGTTTTGTTTGTGTTTTTGGGTATATTGGATGGATTGGAGGGATTGTTATTGTTGGAGTGACAGTTGTTAGTTGTGTTGGTGGAGATGGACTTTGTATCATTAAAATATTGATTTTCATATGGTGTGAGAGTGGTGTTTTCTTTTGCTGGTGTTGTTTTTGCAGAGCACTGCGGCATTTTATTTTGCATAGAAGGCTGATTATTTTTAAACTTCTTGCTTCCAGGGTTGCTAAAAAGCTCAATTCTTTTCCTCGGGTCTAAACGAGGAGGCGGCTCCTCATCACCCATTTTCGCAGAAAATTGTATATTTTGTTGAAATTAGGAATATTAAATTTCAGCAAAATCACCAAATAAAATAATGTTTGTGTTATTGGTTAGATGGAAGGAATGTGTGTATTTGTGTGTGTATTGGTGTTCAAAGCAAAACAAACAAAACGCATAAAAAAGAAAGCGAAAAGGCGCGCACGTAGTCTAAAGTCAACGAGAGTTGAGAGACGACTGCCTGTTTGGCTTGTAATGACAGAATTAGTATCAAAACCATGTTCTATATGTCTATAATGCTAGGAACACAATTGGAGCGAACGACGAATTTCGCCCTACGCGGCGACAAAATGAGCCGCGAAAATTCGTCGTATGGAACACAATACCGACGAAATTATAAAACAGCTGATGAAGTTGTTTACTTTTTGCTCATTTGTTGACTACAATGAAAATTATACAAGAACTCATAATTCTTTATAATTTCAGTTATGTCCATCTTTTCTATTATAAATTCACTGATATCCATCTTCACTCAGGCGCAAGTGCACAAATAAATAAACAAATTATTTATGTTTTTTTTATACGAATAACAGATAGTAGAGTGACCATAACAAATTTTTAAGTAAAAAGTAACTTTATTTACTAAAACACATAAAATTCGTACAAGTATGGCCACCTTGTACTGTTTTGTCGCCGTTCGCCGGCGTATGAAATAGAAATAAAGCTAATTGAGTTCGCGGCGACCGACGAAATTTTCGCCGGCGCCGTGATTGTGTGCACTTCCATATACACATATGGTTTTTATTTTTGACGACGAACATACGCCGCGAAAAAATTCGTCGTTCGCTCCAATTGTGTTCCTAGCATAAAGGATAATTTCGCTACAAAAACTTTGTTATGTGTGCATATGCTCGGCATACGATTAGGCCATCCGACTGTCACAGAGACTCCCAGGGCTAGGGATCTCAACCCGCCAATCGAATCCAACACACTAACATTGAAAGGGGACTTTACTACAATTGCTCTACTCTACGATATACAAAATAGGAGTCATCATACAGGGATCTCGGTGGATCGATCCCACACTCGCCCACCCTACCTGGATCCAGTATTTCCATTTCTTGCGTTTCTCTGAATCCCCTTGAACCACACGCTTCGAATCACACACTTACTTCATACCACCTTCCCCCCCAAGTTATACAAATTTAGCAACACATATTAGTATCTACTGTTTACAAAAGAATCATTTTTAATTTTATTAAAAAAAATAAGTTAGCTTTAAATATTTTCTTAATTTTTTTCTCTACTATTTTTTTTCTTACATTAAAATTGACAAACTGTATGGTATAAAAAAAAACAAATTAAGAATAATACCGGGCTTTCTTAAATCTATGGCTTTAATTACTCGGTAGAAACCAATATATTATCCTTTGCCTTGCTTTTCCCGCGCAATATTCCGCGTCTATACGAAATTACTAGCCACCTAAAAGAGCTCTCTTAACCGGCCTAATTGCCGCTAAAATTCCACGGCCTAAACTATCAGATCGAATCACAAGGACTCAAGATAATTTTACTGTAACACCTCCTAGCCTTTGAAAATAAACGCGGTATTTTTCCCTTACAAACTGATTATTACTTAAATCCTAAGAACTATAACCTATCTTATTACTAAATCTTTATACTGAATATTATATTTTTTTTCTCGAAATTTATGATTATTAACTCTTTTTTTCTTTTCTTTTAGTTCCAAAAAAGGAGACAGCAAATTTTATGGACGTCACATATATATATAAATATATCTATCAAGGACAACACAACGGTAAGACACCTTTTACCTGAGCAGTGATTTATAACGTTATTGATTAATTCTTCTTATCTCTTCTTCCAGTTTACGCTTCTTTCCGGAGGAAACAGATTTTGAACGCCAGGCAAACCCTGAAATGAAGCTGGACTTGTTGACTGGTCCTTTTACAATGCCGGCGTTCTGGGCGGGATCAATAACAGGCACAGCAAAAAGCTCAAAGTTGCAGCTGGCCAGTTTACAATTCAAATCTCCACACCCTCAATGTAACTTTTTTTGGCTTTTTTCTCCTGTGGACAACTTGCCACTACCTTGCGTTACCAAAAAGAAAAGGCAATTTCCCGCCGTTGTGCTGACCAAAACCGGACAATTTTCGGTGCTTCCAAAAAAGCTTGATACACCACCGGAATATTCCTGTTGGAGCAACACACATCACATATAACAACACATTACTCAACAAACCACTGTTACAAACTACTTACACAATAAAAAAATCGCAACACACAAATTAAATTTTTCCACTTCTTCACTGCTCTCTAGCTAAGTTTCACCGGTAACGTCTTATTCTTAACTTTGGCTTTTCTTATGCTCGCAGCCTTTTATACCCCTCTTCTCAGTGAATCCCGCCAGACGCTCATTTTCCACGAAACACCATTTTCCTGAGCCATTTTCAATTTTCATTCCTTTTTCTTTTCAACTGTCAATAGCCATTTTTTATTCTATTGTGAATTCTCATTTCAGCTCACCCCGGAGTAGTAGTAGGTTCCCACCTACTCAGCAATCATAGGGCTGCCTAGTCACTTCTTAGCCTGAGTCACCCTGTCATTTACTACCTTTATAATACTCTTTTACTCAACCCTGTTCGAGCCTAATTTCGTACGTAGCGAACCCTAACAAACCATTTCCGGCATTTTGATCCCATCGCCACCCAAACTACACCCCCCGCAGAAATTACAAGCAAATTGAAATCTCGAAGCATCCTCATCATCCTCACTAAAAACCCAGGAAAACTGAGCAGATCCATTTGAGGACCAATTATGGGATGCACTACCAACAGAATTGGGATAATTTCTGCGGTGGTTGTGGACAGGTTTTGCCAAAAAACCCGGCCCCATATATTTGTTGCCTTTTTGCGCCGAATGTGAACGGCCTGCAACAAAACTTCAACTTCGGCCAGAAAATCGAGGACGGAGGTGATGTGCAGGGCCGCCTAACTCATTTACGTGGGGACTTCCCACTCCCTGAAGGTCTCATGCCGGGCATAAGCTCCGAACAGCAGGCTGGTCTAAGCCCTCCCCCTCATGCTGGTAAGTATCCCCCATCGAAATAGAGCCACATAAATTAATTTATTTTTCTAATCTGTCCATCAGATCTGTGAAACATGTCTTGCTGGTTCGCCTGATAATTCTCGATCCGACACCCTGAAAATATCGTGTCACTACCAAACATCGATCGAGTTCCCCTATAGCAGGTTAACATTTGGGAAGATCAAAAACGCTCATAAATTTTAAAATACGCATTCATTCATTTATACAATCCCGCATTCAGTATTTCTACTAAGACAAGCTCAGCGGAACGGATGGGATTTATCGGCCCACTCCTTTGGGACCTTCACTACAAAAAGGTAAACATCCGGAACAACCCAATAATTCTATCAACCCAAGACCTTGTGTGGAGTTGGAATATATTTGTCCTCGCCGGCGGATCTACACTGGTAATACCCACCAGCTCTCAATGAAAAATTATCCGATTCCATCAAAATTTCACACATTCTTCTTGGTTGGATATAATCTTCAAAGTTGGAATCTATACGTACTTTGATACAAACATAATTTGATCAAATTATTGAAATCATGGTACCATAAAAAAGTAAGGTAGAGCTAAAAGCTGATTACAATTTTTTTTCCAAGTGTGCCCGACTTCTGTCATTATTGTGTATTATTTGTTTTGAAAATAAAAAAAAATATTTTCAAGGTCAATGTTTGGAAAAACGAACACTGCGTGGCCGGCGTTCAAAATATTACCCTGTTTTGTCCTGGAATTGAAGGATTAAACAGTTTGGATCACATTTTTAAAAAAAAAATCCGTGCGTTCAATAACGCATTCAAAAAAATAACAATTATCAAAACATTTTGTCGCATACAATTTTGCAGTATTTTGACAGAAAGCGGGCATAGCCCTAGGAATGTATTTCGGTACTTTTTTGTTTGTTTTGACCATTTAATAACTTTCATTCCTTAATAGGTGGTGAAACATTTTGCATGCGGAAATATTTGTGCCTATGCCTGTCTTGTCGTCGTGGTTGCCGAAGAACGGATTTTGTATGCGGTATATGCTGATGTGATTGATAGGTAAACAAATACCATAATCGTGGTGTCTACGTGATTGTCTGGTAGAATGTAGTTTTCTGTATGTTCGCTTTTTATGTATGGGAATCTTTCATTAATTTATGCCGGAATAAACCAGATGGTGCTATTTTTATCGCCACCGGGTGTGTTTGAGTACATTTTTTTTTTTTTTTTCAAATTTGTATGTCGCGTAGAATATTTTGTAAAAGAAATTAGACAGCTGTGATAAACGTGAAACTAGAGTCTGATTACTTTGAATTACCCAATTAGGGGAACAGATCAGCTGATATTTTTGAACCTTAATACGAATGAATTCAGTACGAAGGTGATTTTACTATCGTATTTAGTTTCATCAGACACATTTTCTATGTTTTGTTTTGATTCATTCGATTTTGAATTAAACAATTGCTGATAAATGTGATATAGAATTGGTACCAAATGTGAAATAGTTTTTGAAAGTTATTTTAGAATTCTTTTTATAAAAATTGAATTGGGAAAGGGGATTGAACAGACTTTCTTTTCCACTTATCTTTTAAGATCTTTTGCATGACAGATTCCAATCGCCTTTCCATTTAGATCTTCGAGAGAATACATATTATTTCCTATGGGCTTTACTATACGACACTTCGTAAATTTCCGGGCAAACTTAGCATTAAAATTTTTCCCAAAATCGCTAAGAACATAGTTTCTTTTATATACCTCTTGACCCGGAGAGAAAATAATCGTACGAGCCCTTGCGTTATACCTTTTTGCGCTTTGTTGATAAGCCTGATGCATATTCTGTCTAATTTTATTTCGGATTAGTTCCATCTTGTCGTTACGATCTAAATGTATAATTTCATGGTCCGCCAATGAGTGGAGCTTCCGAGCTAATTTATAATCTGAACCATGGGTATACATACTATGACCAAACAGCGCGAAAAATGGCGTTACACCAGTTGCAGTATGAATCGATGTTCTTAAGGCGCACTCTATGTCTGTTAGATACAGGTCCCAATCTCTGTGGTCATTTTCTAGATATGCCCTAATCGCCGCCAATACTGATTGATTGACTCTCTCAGATGCATTAGACTGCGGAGCATATGGAGCTGTTTGGATATGATTGATTCCATATGTTTCAATCATGTCTTTGAAAGTTTTAGATACGAACTGTGCCCCATTGTCGGAATGTATCGTCTCGGGTACGCCAAACTTACGAAATATATCCTCAACCATAAATTTTACCACATGGGAAGCTGTTGCCTCTTTCATTGCCTTAAGAAATGTAAATTTGCTAAAGTGGTCCACCACTATAAATATAAAGGCGTTGCCACTTTTAGACCGGGGGTATTTCCCGAGGAAGTCAACGTAGAGTTTCTGGAAGGGAAGATTTGTCACGACTTCATTTCCGATCTGAGGCTGAGTATTTTCATTGGTAGGCTTTGTCTCTTTGCAAACAGTACATTTAGACACATATTGCCTAACCTGGGATACCATTAGAGGCCAGTAATATTTTTCTCTTAAACGAAAAATGGTTTTTGATATGCCTCCGTGAGCTGACGTAGTTCTATCATGGGCTTGCTCTATTAAAGAATGGGTCAAAGACTCTGGGACCCACAATTTCCACTGAAACTCTTGTGTTTCTGGGTTATAGGACTTGTGATCTCTTTTAAATACCATATTGTCGACAATCTTTAGATCGGGGAGATTCTCCTTTTTATTTGCAATAATTTCTCTAAGCTGTTTGTACGAATCACTTTCAAACTCGGTGGTCTCGAATTCAAAAACCCGATTCATGTCTATTTCGTCGGCATTGGGTAGGCGGGATAGCATATCGGCGACAACATTTTCCTTTCCTTTTCGGTGCTCGATTTTGAAGTTAAATCCCTGAAGTTGCAATGACCAGCGAGCTAAACGACCACTGAGGTCCTTTAGACTCATCAGCCATTGTAAACTAGCGTGATCTGTTATCACGGTGAATTCCATTAGCTCCACGTAAGGACGGAAAGTTTTGATAGCCATCACCGCCGCCAAGCATTCCTTCTCTGTCACGCTATAATTTCTCTGACACTTATTGAGTTTTTTCGAATAGAAAGCGATCGGATGTTCATGTCCTTCGGCATTCAGCTGAAATAGAACAGCGCCGATGCCATATTCCGAAGCATCACATTGAATAAAAAAGGGTTTGGAAAAATCTGCGTGGCGTAACACCGGTGCGGAAGTTAAGGCCCTCTTTAAGTTTTCAAATGCCTCCTTTGCCTTTTCCGTAATTACGAATTTGGGCGATTTCTTCAGGGTATCAGTAAGGGGAGCTGAAAGTGACGCGAAGTCTTTAATAAATCTTCGGTACCATCCTGCTGTACCCAGAAAACTTCTCACTTCCCTAGCACTTTTGGGAATTCTAATTTTTCGAATTGCTTCTACTTTTTCGGGGTCAGTACGCAACATGCCTTCTCCAATAATAAAACCCAAATATCTCAACTGACGAAAACAAAATTTTGACTTGGTTAACCCGATTGTTAAATTCGCTCGGTCAAGGCAATCGGCTACTTCATTCAATAGACGAAGATGCTCGTCGAAATCACTTGAAATAATCAACAGGTCGTCCAGGTACACAAAGACATTCTCCTTGAGTCGTTGGGGAATGACTTTGTCCATCAGTCGACATAACCTTTGTGCAGCATTACACAATCCAAACGGCATCACACGGAATTGATACAATGGACGACCTGGGACCGTAAAAGCGGTGTACGGCTTGCTTTCTTCGTCTAATTCGATTTGCCAGAACGCATATTTAAGATCCACGCTGCTAATGTAATGAGTTTCATCAATGCGACTTAGTATTCCTTCAATGTTTTGCAGGGGGTATGCGTCCTTGACTGTGAGCTTATTTAACTTTCGAGCATCCAGACAGAAACGATTTTTTCCGGGCTTTCGTACGATAGTTGTACGATTGCTCCAAGGGCTTTCACTTTCCTCAATAACATTAAGTGCTAACATATTATCGACTTCTTGGTACGTGATAGCTTGAACCGCTGGAGACATTGGATAGTGGCGGTCTTTAACCGGTTCCGCACCTTCCACGAGCTTAATCGAATGCTTTTCTAACTTAGTACAACCTAGCCCATTTTCTTCAAAGGTCTTGAATTTTTTTACTATGCATTTTAATCGATTCTCTTGATCATTTGTTAACTCGTGAGGGTTGAGTTTGTAGTCGGGACCCGTATCAGTCATATCCCTGAAAACTTTTTCTATATTAATTTCAGCAGCTCCTATCACATCAGGGGCTAATTCGAATGTTCGCCAGAAGTCTATTCCAAGATATAGTTCTTGTTCCAATTGAGGACATAGATACAGTGTCATAAATTTTTCCTGCTCTTGGTATTTTATGATGGCTTTAATTTTCCCTAAAACATTATACTGTGTACCTCCGGCGGTGGTTACCCTGCTGGACATTGGTATAATTGGAATGCCAAGTTCTTCTATTATCTCTCGGCAATTTTTCCCTAACATAGTAACCGAAGCGCCGGTGTCTAGGAGCCCATTCATGATTTTTCCTTGCATACTGATTTCCGAGAAAACTCTGGGATCTGAGGCAATACCAGTTACTCTCGAAATCGTTTCTATCAAATATCTTCGCTGCTCACGCCACTTCTTGGATTTTTGTCTCAATTCAATAATTTTTTTCGGGATTACAGTAAACTCTGAGTTAAAAATTCTCTCCTTGACCTTAGCATAATTTCTTTGGCGATCTTCTAATGGAATGTAATGCCTCTGACCTGCAGAAAAATTTTTCGATTCTACACTACTCTTATCTCTAAATATATTATCGTTGTTTTTTATTAAAATTCGGACGTTTTTGGGTGCTAATTCTTCCGATTCACAGGGTTCTCTGACGGGTGTGTTTCCCCTGTTACTTCCACACCCCTTCGGGAGTTTCCCTGTTGACAGACAGGACACTTTGGGGTTACTGTGTCCGGCTTCCCACACCTATAGCAGAACAATTTCCGGACTTCTACTGGACAGTCCATAAAAACATGCCCCTTTTCTCGACAGTTCCAGCAGATCATTGGGACTCTAATTTGGCTTTGTATCCGGATAGCTGACAGCTCTTCACCAATATTCTCCTCCGGTACTTCTACAGGCTTTTCATAAATTTCATCATATATTTCATTTACTTGGCGGATAGGTCGCTGGGGGAACGTTACAGCTCTATTTTCGCGCCTAGGGAAATTTCTCTCGGCTTCAATACATTCTATTCGTAGCTGTTCAACCGACGAAATGGTCATCTGATATACATGTCGTTTTATATCTTCACGTATATATCCCCTTAGGATCTTAATCATTTCGTACTCGTAAATAGGTTGAAGTAATCTAGATCGCAAAATTCCCATCTCGTGAAAATAACTATTGATGCTTTCATTTGGCCTTTGTTTCCTTTCTAACAAATCCCTGAGTATGTCGAATTTGGATTGTGGGGTTTGATACTGGCTTATCAGCGCTTCTTTAAGACCCACCCAATCGGTGTAAACATTACTTTGTCTATGCAGCCAATACCATTCTCTGGCTTGACCAGAAACCAGAAAGGCGAAATCCCTCAACACTTCAGACCATGGAATATTATATTGAGCCTGCATGATCTCTAACCGCTTAATAAAATCCATAACTCTTAAGCCTTTCGGGTCACCACTGAAATTTAAACCAAGTTTATCAACTCGTATTCCTAGTGGTTCCACTCTAAACGTATTCGTTATCGGGCCAGTAAATTGATCTGATAATGGAGTTTGACTAGCACTCGGAAATTGGATAATTGGTGGCATATTCCTATTTACTGCGTCATTATTATTGTTTGACGTCGGATTAGCATTACTATTTGTAATAGAATTAGAGGCTATTGTAGCCGTTGGGGGTACAATTAATTGTTTACGCACAGTGTCGGATAGTTCTCTCATGCCTTTTGATAAAGAATCTATCATTTTCTTCACATCAGATATTTCTGTTTCGACCATTTTTTTAACTTTATCTTCCAATGACTTCTGGACAGACGCTGCTTCATCTTGTACTAGTCCATGTAAGTCGGAAGTAGTTGGACCATTATTATTCAAATTATCACTCACTGTTGGCACATGATTGGTGTTCTGATCTCTTCGCATTATCGTGTCTGCTAGATCGATAAATTGCAAAGCACTCATGTTCCTATCCTCATTCGCCATTTCGTCCGACCCTATTCGTCTTTGCTTACTCTGCTCTGGAAAATAAGTCGATCGGTTTAGGTCAAAATTTTCGGGTCTGTCTCTCTTATTTCTTTTACTATTGCGGGTATTGTAGATCATGACCTATACCCAAAATTTATCTTCTCATTTGTTATCAATTGAATCTCGGACGAAACCTTTTCTTGTAAGTAAGTTTTAAATTCAGTTAACCTTTTTTTCAAATATGAAACATCGGCAAAACAAATACTTTTTATAAATACATTCGATTACAATTACACATACAAATTTTCAAATTTGACAATTACAACATAGATCTACGGGGGAAGTGTAATTTTCAGAAGCAGTGTGTGTGTGGTTTTTTTTTATTTATTTATTTTTTTATTATTATTATTATTTTTTTTTAATAATTTTAGTGCCCTTTATGAGGTGTATGACTCTTCCCTTAGACATTCTTATTCTTCTAATAAATTATAGTGCTTTGTTAACTTCGGACCCCTGACATATCTATTACATTTCATAAATGAAAGCTCAGGGTTTTTATATGCAATACTAAGATTTTTGCATCTCTCAGATCAAAATCGCTATTGCTGCTACTCGATGTACTTATTCCTGTCTATAATTTATTTGGGTTATTTCACAAAAACAAATTTTAACAGTAGGATTCTCAATACAAATTGTTTTATTCCAGCTCGGAATTACAAGCTATTGATTACACCCTACTTAGAACAGTGGAGAAAACGTTCCCATAATATATTTGATATAGTAATATCGCACTTCGTAACCCATCTCTCTAAAGTTCGGATGCATACTAATATCACAGAATATTATTTGTCAAAAACATTTTCTTTTGTCTATTTAAAATCTACTAGCATTCTATGGCTGTGTGCGTCGATGTTACTGCACAGAGTTACTAACCTAATATCACAGTTTAACACGGCCATGTTTGAGTCGCCATTTTTGACAGTGGTATCAGGTACAATAAAGCTTTATTTTAGAATATTGGGCGCCATCTCTGTTATGTGTGCATTTGCTCGGCATATGATTAGGCCATCCGACTGTCACAGAGACTCCCAGGGCTAGGGATCTCAACCCGCCAATCGAATCCAACACACTAACATTGAAAGGGGACTTTACTACAATTGCTCTACTCTACGATATACAAAATAGGAGTCATCATACAGGGATCTCGGTGGATCGATCCCACACTCGCCCACCCTACCTGGATCCAGTATTTCCATTTCTTGCGTTTCTCTGAATCCCCTTGAACCACACGCTTCGAATCACACACTTACTTCATACCACCTTCCCCCCCAAGTTATACAAATTTAGCAACACATATTAGTATCTACTGTTTACAAAAGAATCATTTTTAATTTTATTAAAAAAAATAAGTTAGCTTTAAATATTTTCTTAATTTTTTTCTCTACTATTTTTTTTCTTACATTAAAATTGACAAACTGTATGGTATAAAAAAAAACAAATTAAGAATAATACCGGGCTTTCTTAAATCTATGGCTTTAATTACTCGGTAGAAACCAATATATTATCCTTTGCCTTGCTTTTCCCGCGCAATATTCCGCGTCTATACGAAATTACTAGCCACCTAAAAGAGCTCTCTTAACCGGCCTAATTGCCGCTAAAATTCCACGGCCTAAACTATCAGATCGAATCACAAGGACTCAAGATAATTTTACTGTAACACCTCCTAGCCTTTGAAAATAAACGCGGTATTTTTCCCTTACAAACTGATTATTACTTAAATCCTAAGAACTATAACCTATCTTATTACTAAATCTTTATACTGAATATTATATTTTTTTTCTCGAAATTTATGATTATTAACTCTTTTTTTCTTTTCTTTTAGTTCCAAAAAAGGAGACAGCAAATTTTATGGACGTCACATATATATATAAATATATCTATCAAGGACAACACAACGGTAAGACACCTTTTACCTGAGCAGTGATTTATAACGTTATTGATTAATTCTTCTTATCTCTTCTTCCAGTTTACGCTTCTTTCCGGAGGAAACAGATTTTGAACGCCAGGCAAACCCTGAAATGAAGCTGGACTTGTTGACTGGTCCTTTTACAATGCCGGCGTTCTGGGCGGGATCAATAACAGGCACAGCAAAAAGCTCAAAGTTGCAGCTGGCCAGTTTACAATTCAAATCTCCACACCCTCAATGTAACTTTTTTTGGCTTTTTTCTCCTGTGGACAACTTGCCACTACCTTGCGTTACCAAAAAGAAAAGGCAATTTCCCGCCGTTGTGCTGACCAAAACCGGACAATTTTCGGTGCTTCCAAAAAAGCTTGATACACCACCGGAATATTCCTGTTGGAGCAACACACATCACATATAACAACACATTACTCAACAAACCACTGTTACAAACTACTTACACAATAAAAAAATCGCAACACACAAATTAAATTTTTCCACTTCTTCACTGCTCTCTAGCTAAGTTTCACCGGTAACGTCTTATTCTTAACTTTGGCTTTTCTTATGCTCGCAGCCTTTTATACCCCTCTTCTCAGTGAATCCCGCCAGACGCTCATTTTCCACGAAACACCATTTTCCTGAGCCATTTTCAATTTTCATTCCTTTTTCTTTTCAACTGTCAATAGCCATTTTTTATTCTATTGTGAATTCTCATTTCAGCTCACCCCGGAGTAGTAGTAGGTTCCCACCTACTCAGCAATCATAGGGCTGCCTAGTCACTTCTTAGCCTGAGTCACCCTGTCATTTACTACCTTTATAATACTCTTTTACTCAACCCTGTTCGAGCCTAATTTCGTACGTAGCGAACCCTAACAAACCATTTCCGGCATTTTGATCCCATCGCCACCCAAACTACACCCCCCGCAGAAATTACAAGCAAATTGAAATCTCGAAGCATCCTCATCATCCTCACTAAAAACCCAGGAAAACTGAGCAGATCCATTTGAGGACCAATTATGGGATGCACTACCAACAGAATTGGGATAATTTCTGCGGTGGTTGTGGACAGGTTTTGCCAAAAAACCCGGCCCCATATATTTGTTGCCTTTTTGCGCCGAATGTGAACGGCCTGCAACAACTTTAGATTTTGTCGATGCATACCTTGAAATAAACATTTTGAAAACACCCGAATTTGAATGTTTTCTGAACAATTTTTTTGTTATTGAAAAGAAAACACATACATAAACAAATAAAGATGACATATTAAGCCAAGAAAATAAAAAATTAAAATCATATGGCATCATAGCCCTACCTTGATATCATTGTACCATGGGTAGATACAACAACGCTTGGGAACATTTATATGTGTTTTGTCAAAAATAAATATATCTTTATATGTTTTTTTTTTATACGACGTAAATCGGAGGTTATAATGACATGCATTTTCAACAATTTTTACAAATTTCAATGATTTTTCATTTAAGATTTTCAATTCCAAAATCGGTTTGACAGTTCACTGTCCCAGCAGCTGTGTCGATGCGACTACCAGTATTCTTCTACCATGGGTTGAGGTTTTCAAATTGTTGACTTGACATACCGTATTATGTAAACTCAAATATTTGGTCTGTTCCAGAACTGCATGGATGTAAAAGTTTTTACTACGATAATCGATTTTCCCTATATGATATCAAAAAAAAAATGCAAAACTACTAGAATCTTGCAGGTCCTGAACAGACCAATTGTTCTCCATGTGGTTGTTTTATTGCGTTCAAAGGGCTCGTTTCAGTTTATCCCCTTAAATTGCAATAATACCTATACGACGCAAATATTTCTCGTTTAGCGTTTACAGCAGTTTCTCCTTTCACCTCATTTGCCAAACAAGGCATATTTTCTAGTCATTCGCCATGTTGAAATTACTCCAGAGTGGACATGGACTTAAGTTTGCCATTGATGAAACTATTGTCGATAATATCGCAAACAGTTAAATATCGAAGTAAGAACGATATTTTGCCAGCTCCACATATGATTAGCCGCCGCCGTCGTAAGAATTTGGTTGCTTCGTTGTTTGACCGGAACAACACAACTCTATCTTAAAATCCTACAAAATAATCTTGAAATAAATAGTTAATATTTTACATTTAAAATATGGCAATCGATCCAAATTTTATTGAAGTCAATGAAATTACCGACTATTGGACATTCTTAAGAAGTGTAAGTAGGGGAGTTGGTGGAAAAATAAATACTGACTGCAACGAATTGTTTGTTTATCTTTTCAGATAGACTGGATGGATCCATGGTTAATTGGTCTAATAGTCTTGCATGTACTGACAACAACAACTACTCTACTGACCAGGAATAATACAAATTTCCAAATATTTTTATTTTTAATATTGCGTAAGTAGAATTAACTTAGTTTTTTTGCAATATATGGATCTTCGAGTCGAGAGATGATGAAATGAAATTTGCATACTACATGTGTGCATATAGCTGGTTGTATACCCAATACGATAAATGAATGCAAACACCCGTTCGCCCATAAAGGTTAGGGACCTTTTGAAATGTTTTGATGTGTGTTACCTTGAATTGAAGTGATACCAATATTTCTTGCGATATTTCGCGTTGTGTTGTGCATTTTAGAACTTTTATGTGCCGACCATTCGGAGACATTCTTAAATCAATCTAGCTCATTAATATGAGCATTAAGTTTTATTCAACTTGTATTGAGCTACGTTGTGCTTCCTATTTTGCAGCATTTCTGTTTTATTGGTATTACGATTGTAGCCAAAAAAAGTAACAGGAAATCCAATATAATAGTTCTATGAAAATGTATAAGTCCTTGAATAAATTCTCCTTAAAAGTATGAGAAAGGGGAACAAATTGAGTTTAGCTCCAGATGGCGGAAAATTCTTAAAATTTTTGCCGAAGGTAGGTCTTGTCATCCTAAACACAGCGAAATAATTTTTTGGTATCCATACTTCTCGAAATATAGGGTTCAAAATATTAGTAAAAACTCTCAATGTTTTTTGAAAAAAATTCCCAAAAAAGTTATTTTAAGATTTAAACTTTTTTTTAAATCGACGGCCTTCGGTCGGTGTTTGGGATTTTTTCCGCTGGTGTATGCCCAACACCAAGTTCATTTTATGTGGCCGGCCTTCGGCCTGGACTTGAGATTTCCTCATCTGGGGTATGTCCAACAACGGCTTCGCGAACGAAAGTTTTTTAGAGTAGTGGGTCTTCGGCCGTCCTTGGGATTTTATCCGGCTTGAGGTTTTCTACTCTGAGGTATGTTAAACACCGGCTTCGCGAACCAAAGTTTATTTAATATTTTTTAAATAACTGAAAAAATATAAGGAATGTACCTTTTAAAATTTTGAGCCCTATATCTTGTCCCATCTTTGTTGTTGTAATCAGGATACAATAATCTACCTGTAGCGACATTTTGAAGTTTTTATTTCGATTATCGGTTTTTATTTCGTAAAAAGGTGTATTTCTGTATCGCTGTGTTTAGGAAAACAAGGTCTACTTTTTCAGAATTTTCTGCCATCTGGAGCTACACTCAATTTAAGCAATCCATGTTGGGTGTAGCAAATATATATATTCTTCTAAGTTTTAATTTATCCCTGTTTGTTGCTCTTGTAAAATAAAAATAAAAAAATATAATGTTCTTAAAAATTCCAAATATTTGTAAATAAGTTCATTATCTATATTCTCTTTCCCCCCTTTTTAGTGTCTGCCGTATACTTTTCCGAATCCATAAATGAATATGCAGCCATGAATTGGCATTCATTTTCCAAACAGCAATATTTTGATAGCAATGGCCTATTTATATCTACTGTATTCTCAATACCAATACTGTTGAATTGTATGCTTTTGATTGTAAGTATGAACAATAATAGTACAAAGTACATTACCATGAATGTGGATAAGGACTATAATATAGATACAAAAAACAGTTTATTATAGTCATTTTTTTTTTTTCATAAAAGTATTGAAGAATTCAATTTTTTTGCATTCTTTATAGGGCGCTTGGTTGTACAATTCAACACAAATGATGGCAAAATTGAAAATTGCCCAATTAAAGGACAAAGCACGAAAAGAACGTCTACAACAACAACAATCACAAGACGATCAAGATCATATGAAACAGCAGTAATATACCAAGGACACAAACAATAACTATTTACTTAATAATATTATTATTTTTAAAACAAAAAACAAAACACACATATGCATACTAAAAAGAGCAACGACTATACAAATGACTTACTGAATTACTTATAAAATAACTAAGTTCAATTGTCAATTTATCTCGTAAACTATATGTATATAAGGTTTCCTTCGCAAATAGCATAGCAATTAAAACATTTTCTGTTTCAAGCCGATTATATATAGACTTTTTTTATTTTTGAAATCCGTAGGTCGTGTATATGCTAAAGTGTCATTGCTATAGACTATTTTTTACAACAATACCAAACATAAGTGTTCCCCTTAATTAGATTTTTTTCGTAAAAGACTTAAAACATAGTGATGTTTTTTTTTTATATTTTGCGTGTTTTCATAAAAAGTAATATCTAGTTATATGTCATTTTTAATATAAATAACATTTTTTATAATTTTCAAATTTCATTTAAATGAAATTATATATAGAAATATCAATGTATGCCATAGCCATGTAAAAGCTTTATATGTATAGATTTGTAGTATGTAATACAAAGAATATATAATAACAACTGTTGAAAATCAAATAATTTATTTATTTTAATTTCTAGAATTAAAAAGGGAAAGAAAGAGAATACTCTTGAGATATACAAGTTGGTACTTCGTCTATTATATATTTTATTATGTCTAATCATTCCTCTGGAATTCTATTAACAAACATTTTTTTTAATTTTTACTTTGCCAAGGATATCAAGCTGTTAGTACATACCCAATTTAGTTTGAGTTAGCATCGCTACTCAATGGTAATTTATTATATATTTTGCTATCACTGCTTTTGTGATATAAGTGATGATGTCAGTATTATTATATAATAATTATTCCCATTTTACCAATCTCAGGGCAGAAAACATACATTTCTTGACAAATCTCCGCATTACTCTATGATAGAATTTTAAAATTTGTTATCACTGTATTTTTTGTCATTGTTTAAAAAGTAAAAAGTATTTGACAGAACATTTCCAGTACGAACAATTTTTTTCCATTTCCACTCCACTTGTGTCTATTAAAGGTGATTAGAGAATTAGAGGGGTTTAAAGTTGAAGTCGCATGGTACTAATCATGACTCAATCGGAAAGTTAGCTTAACTTCAAAGGAAATAGGTAAAATGTAAGTCGGTAGTGCAATATTATTTTGTCTAATATACTTATTATTTATAAAAATTTTATATTATTATATAAAATTTTTACAATAGGGGAGAATTCACAAAACATGAAGGAAATGTTGGGGTTTCTGATTTCAAGATAGGAGAAAGAAATATTTGTTTTATTCAAAATTTAAAGTTTAAAATTGTTTTTATCATGTACAATGGAATGCGAACCAAAAGCACCATTACAAAAATATTTTTCAAATTTTAAGTTAACTTAAATTTACAGTACAATCAGTACAATTTTTAAACACCCCCTTATTTTATCATGGGCAAGTAAGCACTAACAAATTGCCGCCTAATGCCAAAAAATAATTTCAAAGACGAGCGAAGTCTTACTTTATGGGCCGTTTTATATGTCAACCCCAATGAAAACAAAATAATTGCATTTCATTCAACTCTAAAAACACCAGGGGAATATTTCACTTTCGAAACGTCTACATACATTCCTGCAAACGATAGCCGTTACCATTGTGTTCAACAGTTTCGATAACTCTCGAGAGAAATCTAGAGCGAGAGAGCGCGCGCATTTTTTCAACAGCATTTATCGAAATGAGATGGTTGTTATCGATTGGATTAGAATGCTCAGCAAACATCATAATCACCATTATTAAACCCAAGCAAAATCAGACGGTCAGTCATGGAACAAAGTTAACAAAGCTATTTAAACATTTAAACGAGGAACGTTGAAGTTGGAAGAACAACACGAAAATATACACAAAATAATAAAGTAATAATTCCAATAAGAATTTAGTCATTTACAAATGTTTATAAATATAAAAAAACAACAAATATACGACTCAAAGAGAGACACTTTGGCAAATAAAAAGTGCAAAAATGAATCGAGAAAAACAGTAATAAAAAGCGTGTTGTGTTAAGAAATTGCAAAAAGAACAAAAATATGGAAACTGTTGCGACAAGTACATTGGGCAAACAAATTTCATAAAAATATTACCTTTTTATGTGTATTCCACGTTGGTGTGTTTCGTTGGTGGTGAACCGCTCCCCTAGCACAGCAAAAAAGGAAACGAGGAACATGAATTTCTTATATATTTAACAGCTGTTTTTTTGCCCGCAACTTTGTTCTCTACACTCTCATACGGCATTTGGAATCCTTTTTTTTTTGTTGGCCCCACAATTTTCTTTCTGTTGAGATCTGGAAAGATATTGTGTTGATTATTTGTTGGCTAATTTGAAAAATTGAATTAAAAGCCATAAATTTTTATGCCGAGATAAAGCATACATATTAACAATAAAAAGGCGAAACAGAGGTCATTCAAAAATTCTCTCTCTCACTATATAGAATCTATCGGACACCTTACCCCCTGCCCGGCAAAACTGGTACGGCTCGACAACACCGCCGTCTGTCTTGTGGAATACGTGACATACGATATTTTGTGTTGGTGTTGTTTTTTTTCGCACAGACAAGATCCAAAGTTTTCGACATCAGCGTTGCAGGCCTGCCTCCCACCTCCAACACATTAATTGTTCCAACTTTGGCAAACATTTGTATTACAACAAACCTGTCAGCGTCTCTCCTCCATTCAAGACCTCTATTCCACTCTGTTTGTTTGCCGAGAAGCAACATTGTACAGTTTTGTTGTTATTAATTAATTCTACTACTGCTGCTAGTCTACATCAAAACAAAACTAAAAACAAAAAAATATTAAACAAAACAAACGACGACGATCACAACAACAGATAAAACGACAAAATGCGGTTATTTCCAGTTCGCTTGTCGAGCATACCAAAAATGCTCGACTTCTATTCACAATTCAATCCATCACCGCTCTCTATTAAGCAATTCATTGACTTTGGTAAGTAGATTCATTGTATGAGATTTGTATGTAAATATTAATGAGTTTAAATAATATGCATAGGTTTTAAGAGAGTCTGGAAACTTTTGGGGAATGGGATTTGCATTAACTTCTCTCGTTCTACCCTGCTAAGTAGACAGTAGATCTAAGTCGCTTTAGCTTGCGCAGCCACCATTTCTTCGCAATAAGAATATATCAAAATTTCTGGAACCAACATATGTTTCAAATGCAAAACGAATAAATTAACTATATTAAGCTTCATAAATGGCCAATGTCTACACTCTTGAAAGATTTAAAAGTTCCTACCATAGTACAACAATAGCTAGTGGTACACAGAACTGTCAGACATTTTTGGATAAAAAATTTTGCAAATTTTTGAAAATCGCAATTTCATAAAACTAATGAACAATCTTGTATAGGAGAACGTTTACTATTTTATTTTGTAAAATGTTTTTGACATACGTATCAACGATCACAAAAGCGGATGTATCTACATTTATTCTTCTACCACGGTGTCAACAAAGAAATTTAATTTAAAAAGAAAAGCAGAAAACATTCCATAAAAAAATTCTGGAACAAATCTTTATCTAAACAATTAACGAAACAAAAAACCAAGATAGGATGTATTTCTACCCGAATAACAGCCAAATATGTTTATGGCACAGGTCTCATAAATGTGTGCATATTTATGTATGTGTATGTACTTGCTAAATAATATAAGCCTACAGCAAATAATAGTAGCTGCTATTAAGATAAATAAGGATTAAATGAATGTTCCGAAGGAAAATAAACAAATGTTCTATTGTATCAAAGGAAATGAGTAGATTATATAACAGATAACCTACATAGTCATTTCCAGAGAGAAATTAAAAACAAAGACTTAAAAGTTTAAAATTTATGCTTTTTACTATATACATGCTTAGGAAGCTATTCCCCTTCTTGCATAAAATTTTAAGGTATATCCATATCAGGTCGTCCTTGGGTAAAGAAAAAAAACCTGTTCCAATCTATCAATAAGTAGGTCAGATATAAAGGTGAAAGTACATAAAACGCTTTTTTTGACTGGCTTAAGTTATCGGCTGGCTTCTTCGGAAAAGAACAGAGGAGCCTATGGCCAAAATCGAACTAAGTCAACCTAAAACTCCTTTGTTCCTCTAAAAGGAACCAGACGATGACTTATGTCAGTCAAAGGAGCTCTTTATGTACTTCCACTTAAGGCATTACATTGACTGGCCATTGTAGTATCAGATAACTGTCCTTAAAATGGGATAACATTGCCTATGATTCTGAAGACTATGTTCATCCTCACAAAGAGGTAGAGACACTTGAGCACCTACTATGCTGTTGTTTCAGGTCATCGCACAAGAGTCGAATGCTATTCAGTAGACGGGATGTAGAATATCTAACATTTTTCTTAGATATAGATCCCATTATCATCCACGGGTTTGCTGAAAGCAACTCCTAAATATGTTAACCACTTCTCTAATCATCTCTACAAATCTTCCTTTTCTTCCTTCTATCCTATCTTTAATTCTTTTTTTCCAGAATGAAAAACAATGGACCAAAGTTCTCCAAGCAAAACAGCTGTCGACTCTTGTTTAGCTGTGCATCCTTAAACCAAAACTTAAGTTGTAAAATATAAGTGGTTACTACGATAAAATTCTTATTTTTTCTTGCACGGAAAAGAGGGAGAATGGAAACGTAACTGAAATGACTGAGATAGATATAGATATTGAATTGAGTATTGACCTAAAGTTTAAAAACATGATGTCCACTTTTTTCTCAATGCAAGTATTTTTCCCTTGGAGATCTGTTTCAACAGATTAGCTACTAGTTCTTTTAAAAATATTTCTGAAAAAAAACATTGTTTCTCAGAAAATGTTAAAGAATGGTGGTATTTTTTATTAAAAACATGACTATAGTCCTAGACATTATGTCCACTATTTGCAATTGTGCGGATAAGAGGGAGAAGAGTAATGTAACCGAATAGACTGAATAAAAATTCTGATATTGATTTGAGTAATGATCTAATATATAGCAACGAGAAGTTCATGATGCCCACTTTTTTCTCAAACTTACCATATTTCCAGTGGATCGTTGTTTCAACAGATTTAATTTTTTGCTATTAGTCCTAGTTACTCAGAAAAATGTTGTTGAAGAAATGAAGAGTACTAGTTTTTTCCTCATCGTCAAAAGCAAAATAATAGTCCTAGATATTATATTTACAACTACTATTCTTCAGGAAATACTTTTATAAATTTTGCGATTTTTACTGTAAAATTAATCCAGAGGAACATACTAAAACTTCTTGATTAAAAATCAAAAATTTGCCGCATGTTTCATTATGCGTACGTATGACAACTCTATTGCCTGGCAAATACATAGAACCAATACAATTGAATAAGACCTCCAAAAAAGTTGGTGTTTTCATTTATTCATTTCTTATTGATTGAAAAATCTCCTTTTATCGTCAACATCCAAATGACGACCTTTTTTATATGACTAATACCATTTGGGATCTCATTGCTCAATGTTATCCTTTAACAAAACGAACGAACAAACTCAATGCATTTATTGTTTTTCTATCCGGCCAACGACACTGGCTCTGGCTACATGAACCACAAATACACGTGTCAAGAGTTTGGGTGTTTGCGTTTTATTGTTTATTCCTCATTTCGTTTGCCAGCCTAAAGGATGGAAATTTCCTTATGGCAGCTGTGCTATAACCCAACCGCTTGTTGTGAAAACATGTGTTACTTTATCATTGAAACGTCCTTGACACCATATTACTTTTCCATGCGGCCCGGCATACATTCACCCTGTAAATGTAATGACGTTGGTGCGCTCTTTCTTTCTATTCAATATTACAATATATATTTCTCTGTGTACTACTACTAACTCTCTGAGACAGCTTTTTTTGTCACAAAGAAAAGCTTGTTTCGTTTGCTTTGGAGGATTTTGTTGGAGGCAAATGGGAAACCTGATTGTTTGACAACGGGAGGGAAGACAATGTATAGTCTTTGGAAAACAATAGGCCTAGTTGATGAGATTTTATTTTTTTGCGGCTCTCGTTTAGACGTAAATGGAAATGGAATTTATTAGGGAAACAAGTTTTTCTTCTTTTGTTGTTGTTATATCCTCTACTAGATTTGTCAGAAAAAACAAACATATTGCAACACACATCGGTACATTCATATGTTTGTATATAGAATGTTGTTTAGATATATTTGCAATTATTAGATTATACATACATACATACATACATATACGATATACATCTTTATATACAAATGTATAAATTTGTGTATTTATTTTTACATTTCCGCTATTAAACAATAAGCTTTAAAGATGAACGATTTTTATACGTTTTAAGGAGATGGTAGTAACTTATGTAGGAAATCGTTATGACAATTTTTGGGCTTAAATTTTTCATCTATTATTTTTGTTTCTATGGAAAAATTTATTTCATATTGTACATTCGGTTGAACTCCCATTTTCCATCCCAAGTCCAAAAAATATAGAGTATCACAAACAAATTTCATGTTATTTCAACCAACCTTTATTTTCCTAAGAACTTTAGTTTTGTCGATCAATTTAAAAAATATATATACTAAGGAAGTACATGTTATGAGCCAACCAGCCAATCAGTAACTCAGTCGTTGACCTCGCCACCACCATCAATGTTTTTATATTGAGATTTATTTGTTGACATCATATGGTCTTTTTGTGTGTTTTAGAAAGCAGCTGTGCATGTGTAAATAATTGAACATTGTGTTCAGCATTTTTCAATTCATTTTCGGTTATTGAACGCTTTCGGAATTGCATTGTAGTGATGAAACGTATATTTATATTTATTAAATAAATATTTCACATCACACTGTTTTTTAAGAAATCATAAACGGAACTGGTCGATCATGTGATATACTATATCACCTTAATTGTTTAAGTACTGCAAAAAAAAAAACAAACATTACAAGCTGAAAAACCTGGTCTTTAGATAATATAAGAAAGGTTTAGACACTACTTTAAGACGGTGATATCTTCTGCCGAGAGAACAAATGAAAAAATAATATGACGTGAACATTGAGCACATACAAACTCAAATACTTTGCAGGCACGATCGCACCGGTGGACTGCATACAAATTTATACAGAAAATTTTAAGATAAAACCACAATTTTTTCAGTTTATAAGAATGTGGATCCTGTTCATTTGAAGAAATTCAGAAATGTATGGCTAATGGAAGCGTGGTGTAACTTTTAAGAAGTCGTGTAGGCTTTCCACTCCATTACGAGGACATCATTCCTATCCTATTACAAGTCAAATCTCAAAATAATAGTAGGCGTTACATCAGGACGATGATGGTCGAATAGGAGGAAGACAGAGTAGACTGTTGCAGATATGAGGTTGAAACTGATGTACGGAACGGATGTCTGTTGCAGCAGGATCCAGTCTATCAGCTATCTCGCGAACCACGGGCCTGTTAAGTATTTAGAGAGCCACCTGACCATCTGTATATATGGGGTTTCCGATATAGGTATTTAGATATTCAAAGAAAAATGTAATTTTTAATAAAAGATCGGATGTTATATCATGTCAGCCAAATGGCACGCTCACCGAAAACATAATTTTCATGAAATTTTGCATAATTCAATCGTTTATGGGATGCCATACTCTCTCAATAGTCTCACGATTACCATCTATGAGGTTTTGAATCGACGCTGGGCTGTTGGCGTAGACCTTTTCTTTCAAAAGCCCTCAAAGGAGAAGTTCCAAGGGACTGTTGGCGTAGAGTTGTTCTTTCAAAAGCCCTCAAAGGAGAAGTTCCAAGGGACAAAACACAATAATCGTCTGCCACAATTTCAATTGCCACTTTGACAGATTATCCGGTCCGAAAACTTTTTGAGTAAAAGAGCGGTGGTCTCGATGTTTGTAGGACGGTCTTATTAAAAGTAAGATCAATACCATCCAATTCAGAACATAAAAATGCATAAATTATCC